AACCAAGGTAACCCCCCCCCTACACCTTATCACCTGAATCTCCTCCTAGAGCACCATTGTGTTCTTTTTAACCAAATATCTCTCAGAGGGGCGTGGGGAGGGGCTCCTTATTTTCATCTAAAGTAACAGACAGAGAATCAGCACTTTTGAAACAGGGCTGAAACAGAGGGGATTATGGGATGCTGCAATGATCTGTTTGGTATTTGGAGCCAAACACTTCAGAGACATGTTTTGTATATATCTGAGACCTATAATATATTGATGAAAAACAGTATAATAGGCGACCTTTAAATGGTTGACATTTCAAACATAACACCTCATCCTTCCTCCATGTAATGTTTGATTTAATTGAAATTAGCCAAAGCATGCTGTAACATAACAATCTAAACAACTGTAGTATGAAAAATGTATATAAACTGTTCACAGATGCCTGCAAGTCCTTCAAGCTGTGCTTAGATGACTATAGTTAACAGAGGTGAAGTGACACACATTTTCCAACAGAGGTCACTCACAGAAAGGACATAAATAGACATGGGACATACCACACACACAAACAACCTCTCACCTTAAACTCCTCTCCCAGAGAGAAGGGAAAGCCTCCCTCTCGGTGCTCCTCACACCAGATGCCGTCCTGGTATGAGTTGCAGACCATCGCATTCTCGTCCCCGTGGGCGTTAAAACGAGCGTTGATATGCATCGTAATATCCTTCTCGTTGGGGCCAATATTCACTGCAAAACTGTGGCAAGAACATGTATTACCTTTCAATATGGCTGCTTAGATTCAAAAAGGTACGAGGGCAGCAAGAGCACAACATATTGAGACAAACTAAGCAGTTGGTTTATCTTTTCACCCGCTAACTATCATGTTTACAGTATCACATCCACATAACTGAGGGGAGATGATAAGTAGTCAGTGACTGTAACTGATCACGGATTCCACCTCCATCTGTGTGTTAGTGTGTAGAATGGCCTTTGTGTTGAATTCAGAAGTACAGAAAGTATAGAAGAAGAAGGAAATAGGATTCTCAGCCACCCTTTGTTAATTATGTGATAAAAACTTACTTTGTAGCGTCAGGTTTGGGGACTCCAACGATGGTCATGGTCTGCCCGACCTTGAAGGACATGTTCTTTATCATCATACCCTGTGGACCAGATTGTAATACAGTGCGTTATTGTGTGGAAATACCACTTGAGTTTGACTAGATCCATTTAGTATTGCAGCTGCAGGCAACAAGCAGGAATGGTGGCCTCAGCCAACTCTATAATCCACTATTCATCCGTAGAAATTAAACAACATATGTTTTCAATTTTCTCCCACTGGCCGCCTGATCAGATTTTCCAGCTCTCTCCTGTCCTATCGTTTGCCACAGCCCCTTTTTCTCTATGCAGATTTTGGCAGAGGTTTACATTTTTAAGAAAGACCTTCAAAATGAGTCATTTTTTCCTAAGTGCAAGACTGGATGGGAAGTATACGTTGAAAGAAAAAGGCTGAGCACAGAAGAAATCGTTGCCTCTGTACAAGTGGCGAGGGAATAGTGAGCTGTGCCACGATTAGGAAATGATACTTGAGCAATCTATAATTGAGTTGTGAAACACAGGTCCTGCAGTTCCACATTTTGTCATTTTGTTAAATGATGTATCTGGGGAACTGTTAGCTGTCACCAGGACAACATGTTGTCAAAGGCTATGGGGCATAGGACAAATTGGATTCTTAAAGGATGTTCTCTCGAACTTTACAGAGGAACAAAAAATGTA